CTCCGCTCCGGGGGGGGGGGGACTTTACTGGCATTGATCCGGACCGTTGACCTTGTATAAGATTCACAAGTGGACCTTTAACAAAAAAGTTTGAGTACCCCTGACAAACAGATCCTTAAGAGCATCCTTCTTTCCAAAGATAGTGCACACCATTCTTGATGCAAAATTCCACCTGGTTGGTGCCACTTGTGGCAGTCGCCTCTGGCATATTTCATCAAGCAGCTGCGTTCGTTTTGGTGATCTAGAAAAGAACGCAGCCAGGCCAGAAAGGTGTGAAAAGAAAATTCTGCATTTTTTTATTTTAACTACACCTTGAGATAAAACCAAATTAAGGGCATGTGCATAACAGTGTATGAAAAGTGCCTGTGGGATCTTTTCCTTGATCTTGGCTTGGACTCCGTTAAGCCCCGATGCCATAACGGCAGCACCGTCATAGCACTGGGCTACAAGTTTGTCCATGCATCCATGTTCTTCCAAGAAACCGAGGGCCATGGCTGCTACATCCTCTGCCCGTTTCTTCCCTGTCACATCCTCAAATTTGACGAACCTGTCTTTTACGCCACTGTCTGTTACAAACCGAAGAACAAACGATAACTGTGCAGCATTGCTGACATCTGTTGTTTGACCCAACATTAAAGCTACGAAGGGTGCTTTACTTATTTCCTCTTTGATGGTCTCACCCATCACTTCGGCCACAGCACTTATCAAGTCGTTCTGTATTTGACTCGAGGTTCCAATGAACATCTTAGAAGTGGACAAATGGTAGTGCAAGTCTGGATCATATTCTGCTATGAATGTAAGCAGCTCCAGGTAATTACCTCGATTGGCTGATTCTCTGCTCTCATCATGGCCCCTGAAAGGTAACTCCTGTTTCCCAAGGAAAATCACACAGTGGATCAGACGTTTCAAAATCTCCCGATTTTTGTTCACCTTTTCGTTGTGAATGATCATCTCTGTTCGTCCAGCTGTAGATCAATCCTTGTGTCTCCAAAAGTCTTCATGGTGACCGTTGCTTTAAGATGCCCTGCTGTGTTTTGGTGTTTTTGTGCAGCCTTGGTTAAACAGCTCAGATTATCGTAGCCTTTCCAATTCCATGCCCCCTTTTCGGTCCCAAAAAGCAAGCACTCCCAGCAGTAGAGCCTTTTGTGCCTAACTGAGCCCGTAAGCCACGGGTATCTTTCCCAGTTGCTAGCCTGGAAATGGCGAACATAGCGTTTAGCAACTTGATTCAGCTCCAGATTTTCAGGCGTTGGGCGCCCTTTTTTTACAATGTCCGTCTTTTTAGTGAATTGTCGTCTTGAAAAAGGAACCGACAATAATTCCGCAACAACATCTTCTTCACCTGTTGCCATGTCAACGTTAAAACGAATAAAACAGAAAATGAATTGTTACGTCCCATCTATATCCTGTGTCTCGCACCTGTCAGAACTAACGGGCCTTCTAGCATACCCTGCACCGTGGGAAACTCTGAAAGAATACGCCCATTGGCTACAAATCAATATATGATTGGTTGATCAAACTGTCAATCAGAGTGTTCGCTCTCATTCATTTCAACGACCAGGGCCTTCTATAGAGGATACAGAATTCCCACAGATGCAGAAACAGATCTGATTGGTTGCATTTCTTTTCTAAAATGCGTAGTGCAAGGTCCGAGAAGGACAAATCAACGTAACACTGTTTATTACAGATCAACAACACAGATACGATTCTCATTTATAAAATGTATTTACATTTTATTACATTTTATTGAATTGTATTTATATAATTAAATCGATAAATGTATTTTTTTAATCTGAGTTATCAGGGTATTCTCTGAATACCTTGAAGGCCCTGACGGTTCGCCACTGAGTTTGGAGTGTGACTGTTTGAGGTTGTGGACAGGTGTCTTTTATACTGATAACAAGATTAAACAGGTGCCATTAATATAGTTAACAAGTGGAGGACAGAAGAGGCTCTTAAAGAAGAAGTTACAGGTCTGTGAGAGCCAGAGATCTTGTTTGTTTGTAGGTGACCAAATACTTATTTTACAGAGGAATTTACTAATTAATTCATTAAAAATCCTACAATGTGATTTCCTGGATTCTTTCCTCCCATTCTGTGTCTCATAGTTGAAGTGTACCTAGGATGAAAATTACAGGCCTCTCTCATCTTTTTAAGTGGGAGAACTTGCACAATTGGTGGCTGACTAAATACTTTTTTGCCCCACTGTATATTAAATATTTATTCTTATATAGTCTTATATATAAAACTGGCCCTTTTGAGTGCAACCATCATGTTAATGTGGCCCGAGTTGAAATTGAGCTTGACACCCCTGGTATAGACAAAGCCTGCACATTTATTTGACACAAGATTCTATCTAATCATTATCGGATTCAAAAAGTTGAATTACAAAGATGATATGATGAAGCTTTCCTCCTTGTGGTCAGCAGTACGGACATTTTACAAGCTAACACATGAATATGAATCATCAAAGAGTAGATGATCTGATAGTCAGTTATCTGACATACTTTTTTAGCTTTAGCGTTGTTTGTCCAGCAGGTGGCAGGACAGCTAAAAATGTAAACATCTGGATTCTCTCATCTGCATGTTGTGATAGCATTGCTAGCATCTGGTGAAATCAATGAAGCTTTGGACCGATGGTGAACATGTTGTGCTCTTCAGAAGCCTCTGCGCAGGATTGAGATCGAGGAAGTGAGTGGAGAGGTGAAGGTGTCTGAGGGGGAGTCAGAAGGGTCCAAGCTCCTCATCAAGGAGGTGATGAAGGAGGCTGAGGACGACTCCTCTCCACTGTCCACCTCACCCAGCGCTAAAGTGATCAAGATGGAGGAGCTAGCAGACGTCCCCTCGCTCCCTGAGAGGTGAGCCCCTGAGATAAAGCATTTCATTTCAACACAACACTCTTACCTGTAGTGCCGTGTTTGAACGTTGTTCTGTTGTGAGTTACATGTGTTTTACATTTTTGACTGCAGAGATGTCTCTTTAATGGAATGGAGGCAGATGGCTTGTGGTGCTCAAAGCTTTAGAAAATACATTGTTATTTTTTACATGTAAATGGTTATATTTGTTTATTTGATTGTATTCTATACTGTCATTAGATGTCGTGTTTGTTCTTCTATTTACTCCTTGTGTGAACTCCTACTTGTCCTATCCTGTGTTTATATCTTATGCCTGTTTGAGTTGCTTCAAAGTCTTTGTAACTATAGTACAGTTCATTATGGGAAAAAAAGTTTTAGGGTTTTTAATTCTATGCATATTTAAGTAGACTTTTCTAACTATTTACACTGCAAAAATACCAGAATGTACTGGGATCAATCTTATCTTATCTTATTCCAAAACTCAACAGCAATCTGTCTGTCCAGAAATCCTTCTCTCCACCACGTCACTGTGCAGAAGGAAGGTGAGTAACCGGGTCATGATTTCTGCAAATAGATATATATTTTTTTACTTTTAGCACAAGCTCAGTTCCATCTGCTTTTATGAAAATGCAGAGAAGGCAAACATGTCTGACGCTCAGCAACTCACACCAAAACAGCTTAGATTGTGGAATAGACAATAGACATATATCTATTTCTGATTTTAGAGTGTACGGACAGTACACTGAAGAAATAGATATATGTCTATTCAATATTCTTTATGTCAGGGGCTAGGCACTTTTTTTTTCTTTCTTGGAAAGCGGTATTGATTATCCCCACCCCCCTCCCCACTGTTTTGCTTCTTCTCTCCAGAGTTCCTTCTAACGGACCGAGCAGACAGCCAGCGCAGCAGGAAGTGGCTCCTCCTCCGTCAGCAGCTGACCTGCCCCCCCCACCCACCAACAGCTTCCAGCTGGAGGCCGACCTGCGCAAGCTGGGACAGCAGCCGGAGGTCATCTACAGATACCTGAGGGTGAGCTGTCTGTCCCCACTGTCAGGGACTCGCGCTGCTCACTCAACCCTTTGTTATACCCCCTCTGAATAAAGTTTCAATGTTTATAATAAATAGCCAGACTATGTGCAACCAAAAAGTCAAGATCCCTCTCACAATGTTTGTGTTAAACGAAGCTGTGTTCCTTGTTTATTTCTCGTCATGCAGCAAGTCAAACCGGAGGCCTACGCAAGCATATTCCAAAACTCCCTGGAGCCTGACATTCTCAATCAGATCCTGAACACACTGCATGGGTTCTATATCAAGTAAGTTTACAAATACTGTGTATTAAAACAATAGATGTAAGCCTGCTCTGGTTTTGTGTTGGTGTGCATTAACGCGGTGTTGTGCAGGCATGAAGAGGCCTCCCTCACGCTGCGGGTCCTCAGCACTCTGGCCAGCCTGCGGCGCTTCGACATGGCCGTCATGTTCCTGTCCTCCCCGGAGAAGAAAGGTTCAGTCTCCTCCATGTGATATTGCTGATTGCTCGTATCTTTCCTCTCCATCATAGCGCTAACGTGCTGTTCTACTGTTCTTCCCCAGTGCTCAAAGAGCTGTTCCACTTCCTGCACCGAGCTGAGCTGGAGGCTCCCTGTGTTGCAGCGCTGCAGAAGAAGTACGGGGTGTGACGCTGATAAAACCTTTCATTTCAACACTCATTTTTAAAGCCAACTTAATCATTCAGCTTCAGTCTAATCCGGACTGAATGTATATTCAATTTGCTTTCATTCAATTGGATTGCTGTGATATGAGCCTGTGGGAAAATGACCCTAAATCTATTCTTTCTCTCCTTACAACACTGCGCTATTAAAAGTTGAAAGTTCACAAATGGTGGTTTATTGTTCTGAACATGGTGTGTTCGAGTGTTCAAGCTGATACAGTGAATACCAGTGTAGTATCCGTTTACTATGTCATTATGAATGATACCTACATCTGCAACTTGACTGTCAAAATGAACATATTTCACTTTTTGAAAACTGATTTCATAAATGTATAACATGTGAAACTGTTGAAAAAGTGAGTCACATATTTACATTTTATAGTGGATTATACCAAAGGCAGAAGAGATGTTTATGAACAGGAAGTGTGGATATTGCTTGGTCTCTGTGAGTACTTTATTGTCCTGTTCTGGGGAAAGCAACAAATAAAGGTGTATTGACAGGTGTTTGTGTGTGCAGTGTGCACTGTTGTTGACTCAATCCCTAAGAAGTTCAACTCGTTTTGAACTCAGTATAACATCATCTCAGATTTGTCACACGGTGATGAATTAGCACCAGGTTATCAGCAAAGGTAAAGTAGCTCTTTGTTTATTAAGCAAGATAGTGCATATTGTTTGGCAAGACAAATGGGTACATATTGTGAAATGAGATTAGCCTTGTGTAATTAAAAACAACTTTACGTGTCAAACGCATTCCTTTCTCTCTACCTTTTTAATCTTGTTCAGGGTCACAAAGAGGTTGGAACCGTTCCCAGCATGCATTGTCCTAAATCCAGAGCACACCCTATTCAGGGCGCCAGTCCATCACCGTCAGTACGCAGTGTTGAGTAAATACAGCCACACACGTATGTTTACTGTCATTAATAAGAAGATTACCAACTCTAATTTGGGGTCCACAGAGCGTTCAGGAGGAGAGCAGGGGCTCCTCAGGGTCTCAGCATCCACACCACTGAGGATCTGCAGGGAAAATCACACAGATTAGAATCAAACCGCAGCCAAATACTACGGCACAATTCCAATCAGGCCCCAACACCCTCTCTCTATCCACTTTCAATCCCATGGCATAGAGGGCCGGCCATGAAAAGTGCGTGCCAAACCAACTAGTGGGGAATGGAAGATGGTTATAAGACCCCCCCCCCCCCCTCCCCAACAGTAGCTCTTCCTGACCATGTCATGGGACCAGAGGTGGAAGGATACTCAGATGAGGTAGGAAGTAACTGAGTACATTTACTCAAGTACTTTACCTAACAACAATTTTGAGGTACTTGTACTTAACTTGAGTATTTTACATGTTGTGCTGCTTCGTACTTCTACTCCACTACAGTTCAGAGGTTACTCATGTTGTTTTACTCCACAACATTTATTCAACGGCTTTAGCTACTTTTAACAATGCATCTCTAAAAGACAGTTCAAGTGGAAACACTTTTTCAGTCACAAGAGGCAAATTATTTGAATGTTTTACAAAAGTCGAAAATGCTACTTGATGCAACAATATTATCTAGAAATGTCACATGTATAAATATAATTATAAACACAAATAAAGGCAATATCTATGCACAATTAGTACTTTTATTTTGTATACTTTAAGTACATTTAGCTTATAATACTTATGTCCTTTTTCTTAAGTATGATTTTGAATGCAGGACTTATAATTGTAATGAAGTAGTTTGAAAATAATGTATTGGTACTTTTACTCAAGTAAAGCATCTGAATACTTCTTCCACCACTGAGTGAAAGTAGCAATACTAACTTGTTACAAGTGAAGTTCCTGCATTTAAAATTGTTCTTAAGTAAAAGTGGAAAAGAACTAGCATCAAAATCTAGTTAAAGTAGCGACAGTAAAAGTAGTCATTGTACAGATTGGTCCATTTCAGAATAATATGTATGATTATAATTATTGATGCATTCATGTGTTCATTATTTCAAAGTTACTCTTGGTTAAAGTAGGGTTTATTTGACTTAGTTGATATAATGCTGGGTAGCTTAGCCTATAATAATATATGATAATTAATTTGTCGATTTATGTTTTGTATTACTAATCTAAATCTGCAAGTTACTAGTAACTAAAGCTGTAAAATAGTGGATTAAAAAGCACATTTGCCTACAACAAGTAGTGGAGTTAAAATATGAAGTAGCATAATGTTATGATTCTCAAGTGGAGTACAAGTAGCTACATTTTTCTACTTAATTTAAGTACTTCAGTAAATGTACTTAGTTATTTAAAACACTTTTACAACAAGGATACACATTTTATTTGGGATCAATCAATTTTGAATACTCCTGAGCCAATTTTATTTTGAAGTCTACTTACTGGGACTGTTGCAATAACAAAGAATGTCATAAAATGGATTAGATGTGCTAAAAAAGAAGAAATGCTATCCAATGAGCTTTGGCAAAGGAAGTTGGTCCCAAAATACAATTTAGAGCAGGGTGCATAATGCAGCTGTGATGGTGCCTACAGAGGGAGTTCAACCCATCATGGAGTGAAAAGGCTGGATTGGAATTTGGCCGATGTCTAAATGCACGCCGGGACAGTTTACCTGACACACTGAGCGTCTCGTTGGTCGTAGCCGTGTTCCCAGTGAACGTGTTCTGAGCCTGGCAGCTCATGGACTCTTCAGAGATGTAGCGGTTCACCGTAATGTCAATCACACTACCCGTCATAGTCTTCCCGTAGACCGTCCACTGGAAGCTGCAGGAAGGAGAGCAGTCCGCTGAGCACGTCAAGGTCGCCGTGACCCCGATCTCAAGAGAGGCTGGCCCTTCGATGACCACGTTCTTCGGTCCATCTGCAAGAGAAGACACACAAATGCAAGATAAGTCGGCTAAAGTGCACAGAACCTGGAGAAAGCATGCCTTGATATCTGCTTACCAGAAACCCCCACGGTGATCTCAGCTGTAAGGTTTTGTTGTGTTGCTGGATTCAAGGCCACACAGGTGAGGGGGGTCGTGTATGGAGGTGCTACAGGTGTGAAGGATATGGAGCTATTTGTAGCCAGGAGCAAACCGCCGTAAAACCAGCTGATGGAGCAGACGGGGTAGCAGGTGGTCACACATTGCAGCTCTATGGTGGATCCAGGCTGAGCGTACATCAGCCCCCCCACAGGCCCTCCATAAGGATTCAATATACTTACAGCGTCTGGCCCATCTGGAAAATAAAACTCAACTCAAATACGCAGTAAGGATTGAGTAGTCAACACATCCAGTCGTAGTACCCTCAAGTGATAGTTCAGATGTTTTGAGGCGGGGGTTGTCCATAGTCAGTGTATGACCTACAGTCCATGGCGGTCGGCACACCCCCGTTTAAAGAAGCAGAATGGAGCTAGCATGGAAGCAGTAGCAAAACATATTTCAGCCCTCTTAAAGAAAGGCTTTCCGTCTCGGTATCAGTTTAAGTGTAGATTTATATTGAAAATGTACCTCGCCGTCAGACAGCCCTTACCGACAGGGAACTGAGCTGTAATATCCATCTGTGCCATAACAATACAGTTCTGTTAAAGGTCCCATGTCATGCTTTTCTGGTTATTACCCGTCCCCTTGTGTGTTATGTAGCTTTTTCTGCATGTAAACGGTCTGCAGAGTCACAAACCCTCAAAGTACACCCTGTAGCGAGTAAAACTCTAACACAGAAAAGACCTGTCTATGCTGCCCTAGAACGCCTCGTTGAGGATTTCTCTTTTTCCATTTCTTTCTTCCTGGTCTAAGTTACGTAACGACGACCAAATGGACCAATCCGTGGAGCTCCTCACACAAACACACTCACTCAGCCTTATCTTTTCTCAGGCTGTGAGTGTGTGGCGAACTGTGTGGTGAACTGTGTGGCAAACAGCCTGGCTGTGAGTGTATGTATGTGCTCAGGCTGAGTTCAGGCTGAGTTCCGTGATGTCTCACTGTCTCGCAGACCCCACGCAGCAACCAGGAAACGACCCCAGTAATCCAGCTCACACTGTCCGCTCCTCGCAGCAGCGAGCGCCGCTCACACTGTCCGCTCCTCGCAGCAGCGAGCGCCGCAACTTCCCGCCGCAACTTCCCGCCAACACGGCACCCAGACCCCACGCAGCATTCTCATCCGTTTGTCATACTGGTGTCATTTTCTGGTTGCTAACAAACCCCATTGTAACACATAATCACTGATTTTCCGCTGTAACGGTGGTGGACTCATCAGAACAGAGTGGGCGAGCTGACCAATCAGAGCACACTGGGCTCACAGGGAGGGGGGGGCAGGAGCTCCAACAAGCCGTTTAGGACAGAGAGTGAATACAAATACTATACAGAGATACAGCTAGCCTGGCTCTCACTGATTCCAACCAGAAATAACAGTGGGTAGGATAACAGGACTGTATGGGAAACCAATATGATTTTGGAACATTGAACAATGTAAATCTATTCTAGTAGACCTCAACAAAGGAATTATGATCAGTAGAAATGGCCATGACATGGGACCTTTAAGTGTTTCTAGTCTACCACTGCCTGATGGGACTTTGTGTTATTGTGTGACTTTGGTTTGTTCTGGTCAACAGGTGGAAGAAGTACTCAGATCTTGTACTTGAGTAAAAGTAGAAGTACTCAGATCTTGTACTCAAGTAAAAGTAGAAGTACCAGAGTGTAGGAATACTCTGTTACAAGTAAAAGTCCTGCATTCAAAATGTTACTCAAGTAAAAGTAAGTATTAGCATAAAAATATACTTAAAGTACCAAAAGTAAAAGTAGTCATTCTGCAGATTGGTCAAAGTTTTATCAAAGTTGGTAGCTTGTGAATGTTACTGTAGTCTGATTTAAGTGTTGATTATATATATCAAATCATTAATCCAAATCAAAGTAATTAAAGGTATTAACTAAATGTAGTGGAGTAAAAGTACACCATTCACTCTGAACTGTATCAAATAATCAAAGTCTGGTGTTTTGGCAAAAGCAAAACTAACCAATTAAGTTATCAAGATCTGTCTCATTGTAATTGTATATCGTGCACTTAAACTGATATTAAAGGTTTTCTTTGAAGGCCTTTTTTTAAGGTAGCTAATAATAGTATGCATTGCTGCTGTCCCTATCCAAACTGCATTGCTTTGCTCCTGGGCTGGCACTCTGTCTCAGAAATATGTCAACATCTTGGGTATATTGAGATGAAAATATGAATACAACTCTCATTAATTGAACATCAACAGCTAGCCTGGCTCTCACTGATTCCAACCAGAAATAACAGTGGGTAGGATAACAGGAGAGTTTGTACTCACAGTTAATTTGCATCAGGTAGCCAATAGATAAGATGGGTGGTCCATCCTCTACCACCACACATTGGTAAACTCCTCCATCCGCTCGGAAGAGGTGGCTGAAGGTGATGGTGGTGTTGTCAGGGGAGAGGTGCACTCTTTCCCTGGCTGGCATTTTGTGTTTGTTCTTTAACCATGTGATGGTGGCTGGCTCCTGAGGGCCCACACACTGCAGAGAGAAGGGCTCCCCTGCAACCGGGGGGGCCTGCGTGGTGGGACGCACTGAGAATAAGTCTGTGCAGAGAAATTAAAATATCAAGTGACAGAAAAAGGATTAACATGCTAGTTTATTATGGTTCTTACACCAGGACACAGTGGCAGATTTAGACTTCATTACTTCATCATGTTTACTCTAAGATATGGGCATCAAAAGGGACAACTTTAGCAAGGCCCCAAGTCCACCAGTGCCAAACATATTATTACTCTAATAAAAATCAGTGCGAGCAATATGATGGACTCACCAACGACAGTGAGGTTCACAGTGAGGCTGACTGTGGCGTTAGATAATGTGTTTACAGCCTCACAGGTCAGAGGCTCAGATTTAAAGTAGTCATTAAAGGTGATCTCCAGGCGTTTGGAAAACGTTTTATTTTCAGCTGAATCCAAAATGGGTATCTCAATGTTGTCTCCTTGGAAAGTCTCCCCCATGTACTTCCATATAATGTAGCAGGATGGGTAGCATGCAGCATAGCATGAGAACGTGTACTGTTGTCCCAGTTTCACTGTCCTGTTACCAACCATGCTCATGTCAAATATGCCTGAAAAGGAGATTGAGAATAAAACATTTGTATTATAACTCGCTAACAGTTCAACTAAGTCAGGAGTGTCCAAACTGTGGCCCGTGGTCTATTTTGAATTGGCCCTCAGCAAATTCTAAAAGTATAATGAAATTTGGCCCACAAAGGAAATATGTGCTTATCTTATATTGTACTTCTATAATATATATGTAAACATATATTACAAAGTAGTATTCACGAGTTAATAAGCACACTTTTCAAATAAATTCAGCTCAATAACTTATTTGCATAACCAGCTTGAAATATTCCCTTCCTGTTCCCCTTTTTATAATCAATCTGAGGCTGCTGTTTAAGGGATGAGCTGCCAACACTGTTTGTAACTAAATACAATGAAACCCTCTGGAGAGCTTTGATGTAGGCTGTTTTTTCCTTAAAGCATATTCAAGTATCAAGAATAATTTCATTTATTTGATGGATAAAGCTAATTTATAGAACTAAACTTATGAAGCAATATACCTCACCTCTATGAGGGGCCCAGCCCTTCGTATGTGGCCCTCAGTGAGAAACGTTTGGACACCCCTGAGCTAAGTGCTGCTACTGTGAATAATGTTATATTGTCTCTGTACAAATCTATAGGATTTGAAATTCTCATAGGAGGTTCATTTCTTTCACATACTTGGCACAGGCAGCAGCAGAGTCTTACTGATGCAAAACACATCATATATATTATTCTGAAAAGGACCAATCTGCACAATGACTACTTTTCCTTTGCTACTTTAAGTATATCTTTTCAAGCTGATACTTTTGTACTTTTACTTGAGTAACATTCTGATTGCAGTACTTGTACTTGTAACAGAATATTCCTACACTCTGGTACTTTCCTTAGGTACAAGATCTGAGTACTTTTTCCGTCTCTGCGAGTAACAGAAATGGATTTCAACCAGTTTAACTGACTTCCATCATGTAACACAAATATTCCAAAGCTAAATAACTAGTTGAGTGGTATTTCTAATGTTTGTTGCTTATTTGTGGTAATTCTTATTCACGCTAGGTTCTTTCACATACTTGCGACAGGCAGTGATAGAGAGCTGGAGATGGAGAGATGTGAGACGGTGTCCTGAGCCGTACAGGTCAGAGTCTCAAACACATTATTAACAGATGTAGACGGGGTGACAGAAATGGTGTTTCCTTGAGCAGTGTTTATCATCAGACCCTCCTCAGTGAGCGCCCAGGAGTAGCTGCAGGAGGAGTAGCAGTCAGCAGAACAGCTGAAGTTAGACGCAACTCCTGCAGTCAGGAAGCCTCGACCGCTGATCTGGATGTTTGTTGGTCCAACTGAAAAGTTGGAAGTGGATTTAAAATATATACATTATATCATACAAAACGTATGAGCTTGATATAATATACATTTTTTGAAATTACCTATCACTTGAATTGTCTCTTCGCCGGCGAGTTCGACTCCTATCAAAGGGTTGACTGCTGTGCAGGTCAGGAGTTGTGGGGGGATCAGCTCCTCAATTTGCAGGCTGAAATGGGGGCCATGGGAGGTGACGTTACCCCAGGTCCAGGTCAGCAGGCAGGCTGGGTAGCAGTCCACTGAGCAGTTGAAATGATACAGCACTCCTACAGTCAGTATGTCCCCCCCGCTGATCCCCACTCCATATGGTCCGTCTGCAGGTCGAGGTAGATAGAAGAGGTTGAGAGAGACATTTAAAAAAAATGCATTCACTTGACATTTCATTTTTTTTATTATACTGTAATATTTTATTTTGCATATTATACTGTAAGTAATATATAATAATAAATGAATTATACTCGAAAATAAGTTTGAATTGCAACTGTTACTCATGTGTGGCTTGCACAATAACAAACATTTATTATTGGGTTGAAATGCAGATGGGTGACCCAGCAGACTGGAGGCAGAGGAGGAGATCTGCTCAGGGATGCATCTTCTTTTTGACTTTGATGTCATTCTGCAGGTTACTTTAATCTGTGTCATGAGAAGCTCCTATATCTTCTGTTCTATGTCACAAGGGAGATGTGTAGTAAAGCTTTAGCAGTCAGTTAAGCACCATTAAGGTCTTTCATGGTGAAGTTTAGGTACCTCTGAACGGGAGTGATCAATTTACCTTCTAATATCTTCTCATCATTTCTGGGTAATGACAAAGCTAATAAGACTACAAAGAAAAATGGCCACCACGAGTCCCATGCATATTGGGGGGTTGGGTGTGTCCTAAGGGACTGGGAGACGAATGAAGAAGCTTGGAGTCAAAGAGCCAGTTGAGTGAGTGTGGGCATCTGGTCACCTCCTGAACACACACACATGTCAGGTTCAGAAGACTGAAGGATTTACAAACACAAACCAGCTTAGGAATTCACAGAAAGAACTTGAAGAAGGGGCTAGTCAACCTTATGGGTTGCCATCACAACGGTGACCAAAAACCAGATAAGTAGCTGAGGATAGATGGATTGCGATGTCAAAACGGTCAAAATAAGAGTCTTATTGCCGCAACATTATGGAAGAGTGAAAATCCTTTACAGGACTTGCTGCATCAGCATAAAGGCCAAGAGTGATCTGCAACATGGATGTATGAGTGTCATTTTAAACATGCTCCTATGAGGACGATCTTCTTCTGTCTACCTTAAGGGCAGAACATATTTCTTGCTGTCTTTCATTGTTCAGATTTTTACAGCCATTTAACATCTTCATTGTTTTGTGTTTGATTAAAATAGTATTTTCAGTCGGACGCTATGCTCTGTGGCATGATGAGGTCACTGTGATGACCCGTATACTCACAGTTTACTTGCATCTGGTAGCCAACAGACTGAATGGGGGGCCCCCCGTCTGCCACCACACATTGGTATAAGCCATCATCAGTATGCAGGAGAGGATTGAATGTCATTGTGCTGTTGTCAGAGGAGAAGAGCACTCTTTCAGATGCTGGCATTGGGAGTTTGTTCCAAAGCCATGTGATGGAGGCGGGGTTCTGAGAGCCCACACACTGCAAAGAGAAGGATCTTTCTCCCGTTGGCAGGCCCGCAGAGGAGGGATGCACTGAGATGGGGTCTGTGCAGAGAGAATATTCACATCACAAATTATCAGCACGAAAGACGTCATTACTTTGTAATAAAAAATTAGGAGCAATATGACTCACCGATGACAGTGAGGTTCCTAACGGAGGTGCTAATGCTGTGAGATATAGTGTTGGTAGCCTCACAGGTCAGAGGCTCAATTTTGGTGTAGTCATTAAAGGTGATCTCAAGGTGACAGGCAATTTTCTTGTCCCCCTGATGATAGATGGGTATCTGGACTTGGTTACCTTCGTAAGTCTTTCCCATGTACTTCCATACAATGTTGCAGGATGGGTAGCATGCAGCATAGCATGTGAACATGTACGATTTCCCCATTGTCACTGTACTGTCACCAACAATGCTGATGTCAGATATACCTAAAAAAGAGTTTGAGAAAAAGAAGTTTGAATCAGAACATGGATTCAATCAAGTAATTTATTTAAGTAAGTCATTTTAAAGATTGTTTGACTGCATCCGTATCTAGCTTTATTGTTTTTTGGGTTAAACCACTGGAATGTTATTGTGACACAGGCTAACATTTTGTTACAGCAGCAAATGTCAGAGTGAGTCAGTGAAGTCAGTGAAATTACTCAGCGATGTCAGTTTCCCAGCAAAACGTACGGAAAGTTAGCTGATATTAGCTAAGATTGGCTAACATTAGTTTAAATAAGCTAACATTAGCTAAAGTTAATTTACATGAGCTAATGTTAGCTAACATTACTTTACATTACATTATTAGAACGTTATTCTATAGTTGCTTACATTAACAAACATTAATCTGAAGGACCAAATGTAATTTATAGCGGTCAAGTATTTGAAAATGGAACATAATGGTGATAAAGAACAGATGACTACTGGTACTTCTACTCCACTACAATTCAGAGGTAAATACTTTCACTACATTGATTTCCTAACTTTAGTGTTAAATCAGACTTTAGTTCCACCTGGAGTAAATCCACAAGCTACCCTGCAGTATACAAAGTCATTCAAACGAGCTGCACCTTTACCAGCTTTGAGAACACTTTAATGATCAATCATTATAAAACATATCATATATATTATTCTGAAATGGACCAATCGGCACAATGACTACTTTTACTGTCGCTACTTTCACTATATTTTTATGCTGATACTTTTGTAATTTTACTTGAGTAACATTCNAAATGCCAGTTGTTAGTGGGTGTACATTCTGTCTGGAAGTAGCAGACACAGTATCAGAATGGAGTTCTCTACTTTAAAAGTAGGGCCTGTTCGATTATGGCAAAAATCATAATTCGATTATTTGGAGTCAATAATGGATATCCACGATTATTAAAAAACGAAATTATCCATATTACTTTGAATACCTCCATTTATTGAAAAAAATAAATGTGAACAGTCTGTTTTTAACAGTTGATTACCCTGAACTTTTAAAGGTGACCTATCAAGCAAATGCACTTTTGTACGTCTTTTATACATGAATATGTGTCCCCGGTGTTCCAGGAACCACCAAGTGTCAGAAAAACAGAACCCTCTCTATTTTCCTCCCATACAAATCAATATCCATCCAAGCCTTTAATCTGGGATCAAATCTTCAAAATGGGTAGTTCAAACCGACAACACAGGATTTGGGATCAGTTTTGATTCCCAAAAAACAACTGGAATTATCCTGATCCCACCAAAGGGGTGGATTTCCAGTGGATTACCAAGAGCAAAATGTACTGTACAATTTAATTTAAAAATATGTTTCAATTTAAATAAGATGCAAAGTTTGTAATTGAAATAATACACAATTTTTGTCCTTCCATGGAAATACATTTTATTTTTTTCCATTTTTGCTCACGTTTGTGGTGGCCTATTTTGTTTTCAACCAAATGTTGATGACATAAATGTTTTATGCTCATAAAATATCAACAGCAAAGATTGTCAATCACAAATGTAACTTAGATTAAAGTAAAAATCTTCACAAAAAAAAGTCACATCATCTGTCATCACCTTTTCAAATAAAAAAATATAATATGACCATTATAGATGTCTCCCTTGCAATGTGGTCTCTTGTCTTCTTGTATTATTTTTCATATCCCAACTAGAAATGGCGATCGGTAGGATTAAAGGCACTGATATTCAGGATCTAGTCATCTTGAAAAATCGTAATCTGGAACAGGCTGATCCTATCCTGAATTGCTTTGAACTCCAAGGACAAAATCTGGCCGATTTGTCTGATCCTGGATCACAAAAAATGGGATTTCAAAATCGGATCGGATCTGATTGAGATTAAAAGTTTTGAACTCCTGGCAGGAGTTCAAAACTTTTAAACTGAATCAAGATGACTAGATCCTGAATATCAGTGCTTTAATCCTAACGATCGCCATCTAGTGGACATGAAAAATAATAATAATAATACAACCCACTAAACTTTGATCCCCTAGCTATTGCAGGCTTCCAATAGATTCTTCTACATTGTTTTATTACAATGTTCCTGCAGATCAAGCCATTTTCACATGATGCAAAACGTTCAAATGTTTTTGCTAATCATTTGGTTACCTCAAAAATCATCTGTTATACAGAAAGAATACAATGCAGTCATACATTTTGATGAAAGAAAACAACAGGGGTGTTATGTAAATAAAGTAACATGTAAAAGGTTACAATTCTGATAAGGAATGTATTTTTGACAGAAATGATCGGGGCTTTTTTTGTCTTTAATTCATATATCATATTAAGGCGGGTTTTTGAAGTGTACATGTTTGTCCTTGTCTTAAACGTTTGGACATACAAGCTCGTAAACTTGAGGCACAAGGGTTAAAAAGCATTTATAATGTTAACTCTCCCATGGTTAATTCTTTTAAAATGTGTTATCAGTAAATTGCAATTTACATGAGAGTTCAATTCAATATTTCCCCATACTTTAGATACAATCTGCAATCTTATGTTAGCAAACAGCAGTTACAGTAAGAGGACACACCCAGAGGTTATATCAGTCCACAAACAAATACAGAAAAATCACACGCAAGCCATTTAAGCTTTGCTTTACATCACTGACACTGGCTTTGATGGGGATTGGAGAGAAGGCAATACAAATGTCATCGAAATTGATGATTGAAATGTTAATCAAATGAAAGCGTTTCACCTTGGAAAGCTCAAACCTCTTCTAATGTCTTAGAGACTAGTCTGGGACACATCCAGGTCAAAGTTTACTCTGTTCTTGTGGTCTTTTAATATAGAGGGCAGGGGTTGACCTTTTCAGTTAGAATAAAATCAAATACGAATTCAAAAGAGAGTGACGGTGGACCTTTATCGAGAAACACCACTTTCTATTATGTATATGAACCTTCCCTGAAATGGCCAGAAATCATTATTGCTGGTTTAGATTTTTTGCAGTTTTCATAAATTATCTTTATTTTGTGAAACAGAAAATGCAATATGTTACAATCAAATCAACAAAAAGACAAAACCGTTAGTGGTGTTAGTAAAAAAGTAAATACATTAACATAACCACACAATAAAACACCAACACATATCAGATCTGGCAGGCAGCTGGACTTTACATCTGCAGGGCCTGTGGCGCAGGCAGATATGAAAAACAGACAGAACAACATTATCTGACCTGAACCAAGTGTACAGGGACAAAAGAAACCACAGGCCACAGAAGACAAAACCACAAGATCACACACCCTGAGCGGAGAATAGAGGCAGCTGATAACCTGCACACCTCTGCCCGTAACATTCGCTCATTTGTCGTCCGTGTTTGAAAGGGCGCGTGATAACAGTGGGCATGACCTCTTCCACCATGAACTATAAGAGTGTGTGAGGTGAAAGGTGTGTGGACAGTCGCTAAGTGTGCAGCATCATGGATCCGCTCTCCGCCTGCCTGCTCCTGCTCACCTGCCTGGCAGGTAAGAGACCCTCCTGATCTCCATCTGCTCGTCAATCTGCATTTCTGCAGTTAAATACTGATCATTTTAAAATTATTCTCAGAGTACGCACTCTGCTAGGGTGTCTGAAAAATGTTTATTCAAAGATGTCAAATGTATTCAAATATGTTTTGCAGTGAAGTGCAGTGCTGCTATCAGAAGTGATGCCAATGTCAATGTTCTATGGGTATTCTGTGTTGAGACGGTGAACATATTTTATCAAATTTCAAATATTTTACTTATGTTTTTTCTATGGTACTAATAGACTACGGTAATTATAATCACTCCAAAATATATACACACTGTTTCCTGTGCGGGCCCTTTGAATGAAAACATTTGAAAACCTCTGATTGACTACATTGAAAATTATTTTTGTATGAATCTGTTTTGTCTGCAAAGTTGATGAGCTGCAGAAAGTTTTTTTCATGTATTCTCTTTTCTCACCTCCAAGATTTGTCTGCCAGTGAAACTGAGTGGGGTGGAGCTGTGGGGGGAAGCTCGTGTAAGATTCTTTTATTTCTGATTCTTATCCATAAATGCTATCTTTAAAGGTTTTTCTGATTATCATATTGTGCCGTATCTGACAGCCTAATTCATAGGATTCAGTTTACTTCAATGTCTTGCTATTGGAACTAAAGGAGGAAGTGTTGTCTGTTGCTTCTGCAGTCGGGCCTTCCTCGGTGCAGATCGTGGGGGTGAATGTTGTGACAGTGGGAATCCCGTATGGTTTCCAGTGCATAGCTGATTGCTATCCGGACTGCAAGTACACCTGGACCCGGGGTAATGTGACCTCTCAGGGGCCCGAGCTGAGCTTCCAGCTGCTGCACGTGGTACCAACACAGACCCTGTCCTGCACTGTGTCCAACTCTGAAACAGGGGACTCGTCCACTGTCCAAAAAACGCTGCAGGTGACAGGTATGAATCACCAAAGTTAATTCTAATTCATGAATTCCCTCAGTAGAACTCCCTTCTAATCTATTTCCAAACGTTCCAGCGGGGCCATCAAACATCCAGATCAGCGGTCCAACCTATCTGACCTATGGAGCGGAGTCCATCTTCATCTGCTCAGCCAGCTGCTACCCCGCATGCAGCTTCTCCTGGACTGTGTCCTGGGAAGGGGAGACGCTCAGCAAGGCACAAGGCAGCAACCTTTCTGTCACTCCATACACCAGCACCGTGCTGGAAGAAAATCTGATTTGTGAGGCCATGGACACCGTCTCACATCTCTACATCTCCAGCTCTCTATCACTGCCTGTCGCAAGTATGTGAAAGAACCTAGCGTGAATAAGAATTACCACAAATAAGCCACGCAACCATTAGAATACCACGCTCAAGCAGTTTATTTTAGCTTTGGAATATTTGTGATACATGATGGAAGTCAGGTTAAATCGGTTGAAATCCATTTCTGTTACTGGCAGAGATTGGAAAAAGTACTGCAGATCTTGTAACTGAAGGAAAGTGACCTAGGGTGTAGGAATATTCTGGTTACAGAAGTAAAAGTCTGCAAATCAGAATGTTAGCTCAACCCGTAAAATTANTGTAAGAGAGGCGCGTCACGTGTTAATGTATCATTGGTGCTCGAGTTGACTGCCTGAACTAGCTCGCAGGCTTCGCCCCATTTATTATTGTGATTAAATGGATACATTTAATCACAATAATAAATGGGGCGAAGCCTGCGAGCTAGTTCAGGCAGTCAACTCGAGCACCAATGATACATTAACACGTGACGCGCCTCTCTTACATCCAACCAAACACAATCTCCTTAACTTGCCGCTCTATTTAAGCTGCCAGGTCTGCCTGCCTCTGCCTTGCTAATGCTCTGTCACATTGCTGATGGGTTCACGTGCTGCTCGCCTGCCCCCCCACCACCCCAGCTTCCACCCCAGCTTCCACCATAAGCTCGGGGGTTAATTATCTAATCATCACTCAATGTTCTTTGTAAATCTGTGGAGTGATGAGGCCCGAGCCTAGACGCCAAACTCAACTATATGCTGCTNTTTTGAATCCTGAAAATCCTGGAAATCCTGGAAATCTTCGCTTTGCTTCCCCACAATGCAGTTCGGCGAAAAGCGAGGCAACGTGACGTCACCCCATTCAAAGTGAATGGGCAGAGAAGCGTTGGAAGATTTTTGTAACGCTGCTGTGTGGACGGGCCGTTAGTCAGGAGGACCCATACATATTCGTCATACATCACCGTTAAACTACAACTAGGGCAAGTGTGTCATCGAATTGACAACCGCTAAGTGAACCGATGTAATTGCTCAATGGATCACCATTGACTGCAGGCATATCACCAATGTAGGAACAGATAGTGCTTGCAATATAAAAGCGTCAGAGATTATATGTCCTGTTTAGCGCACATTAGCCAGAGGGGAATCAAAACTGACAAGCATGGTTCCTGTGTTTTAGCTTTAGCTTAGTGTCAGAAATATGTCAGATTTCCTACCAATAATCAGAATCATCCTATAATAAAGTGATAAACCCTTTGATTTCTCTTACCTGTGTTGCATTTCTTTACTACAACACCACAAGTGTCTTTGTTTGATCCCACCCCCCAATTTCAAGTGAACGTTAGTACTTTTCTCAACTCAAGTTCAGTCAGACAACTCACGTGTTCTTAATATGTTTATTAGAAGCAGCATATAGTTGAGTTTGGCGTCTAGGCTCGGGCCTCATCACTCCACAGATTTACAAAGAACATTGAGTGATGATTAGATAATTAACCCCCGAGCTTANTTTTATGCGAGCAATATATATATATATATAAACTCCCCAAATAGGCGAAAGAACCAGGCATGGAGGGAGGTGGCAGAGACAGTTGGTGAAACTGGTAGGTTTTCGCCTATTTGGGGAGTTTATATATATATATATATTGCTCGCATAAAATCCACGGATTTTTTGCTTTGTATGTCGGGGGCGGGAGATTCATGTGATTGGTTGTTGGTCGCGTTGCTCGCAAAAAATCCCCAAGCTTTCAGACACGCCCACCTCCAAGATTTTCAAGATTAAGTGGTAAGTAAGTGGCAGGGCTAGCATCTTTGCTAATATCAGCTAAGATGTGCTTTACATCGAAGATTGTACTTTAGAGTTGTTGTGCGTTCGGAAGAAAGACATCAGATTCAGAATCAAGTTTATTGCCACGTACGTTTACACATACAAGGAATTTGCTTTGGTACCTGGTGGTGTGAACATAAACAATCTAAAAAAACAAGTTGCAAAGTAGGTAATACAAAATAATAAACAATTTAGCAATAAAAAAGGATGCTAAGTAGTATTTACACCAGATTTGAATGTTACTATAGAAATAACCTTAAAAGCTAAACAAAAACACTTAGAACAATGAGTATATATGGCAAACTACAGTGTTATATTTTTAAAGTGAAGGGCTGTGCAGACGTGTGCAAATATGTGCACAAAGCAGACAGAGAGTTGAGCATGAACATGGCTCACTGTATTAAAAAAGACAAAAAAGGACAAAATGTTCTTCACATGATGTGCGTTGATGTAATGCACAATTACAGTGGATATTTCCTCAATGATGGTCTCTTCTGGGTTCAAGTATTCGCTAGAATGACTTGAGAAAGCATGAGTCAAGCTTAGTAATGTCATTAACTTCTGTAATATATGGGTTTATTTGATACGTTTCCAGATGAGTCGTGAGTGTTAGGCGGTGGTGGCAAAGTACATAGGGACTTGGCTTGGCTACTGTAAGGTCACCAGTTCAAGTACCGGAAAGACCAGGGCTGAAGTCGATTAGTCCATTTAGCTTAGGAACCTTCCTAACGGAGTGAAATGACCCGGACGTCCCTCAGTGGCAGCCATGATAAGAGCCGTTCGAATTCTCTGGAAGATAGGAAAGGAGGTTTCAAACTTCCTTTATAACCTCCTTTAGCTTAGGAACCATACAAATAACCTTAAAGGGGACCTATCATGCAAAATGCACTTTTTTTTGTCTTTTATACATCAACATGTGTCCCCGGTGTGTCGGGGAACTCACGTAGGGTCAGAAAATAAAACCCTCTCTCTTTTCCCCCGTACCCAAATCTTTTAAAAAATGGGGGAACAACGAGCGGATACAGATTTGCTGCCGATATGACGTCATTTCGGATGGTGGACCCACAGAGAGCTGCTATCGGAAACAATGCCTGACGTGTTTTGGACGTAATCTCGTGTTTGTTTACATCAGTCCATAGGGATTTGGCTTGGTAACTGGAAGGTCACCGGTTCAAGTCCCGGAAAGACCGAGGTGTCCCCTGAGCAAGGCACCGTTCCCTACACACTGCTCCCCCCAGGCACCGTACACGATGGCAGCCCACTGCTCCTAACACACAATCTCCTTAACTTGATGGGTCAAATACAGAGGTTTCGTTACATAGTACCTGCTCTACGTAATGACAATGAGTTGAATCTTCTTCTTCTAATCTTCTTAACACCGAACAGCCCTAGTTGTATTATACCCATAACCTTTAAATGAGTACAGTAACATTCCCCTGAATCAAAAGCAAGGAAGAGAATATTCTGCCAATATAAAATCAAACGTCCCTTTTGTGAAGAGCCACACATTTTTTATTTAGCTGCTGATACACCTGTGTTTGCAACTTGTTTACACCAACTCAATCCATGGCAGCAGGATTGCTATCACTGCATTTAATACACGATCCAGAAGTGAGCCTACAAAACATTTACCTTCAACAAAGGCGCTTCTTGTTATTGCAGCGCTGAAGATGGAAAGCGCTGCGGGGAATTCCTTTAACTACTGTTTGTTGTGACATTTCTATTCCTATGTATTAATGATCCGCACAGATTATAGACGCTGGTCTGACAAAAAGTTCCCGGCTCTCTTTGAAGCCGACAGGTTGGATTTGAGCACATGATACACACCGAAGCACTGTTCAGAGATCAGCAGCTGCTCGTACGTTCAAACCTGACCTAGTTATGAAAGGAAATGTTTGTTAAATCAAGATGTATCTCAGACTGAAATGCTTATATATTGTATATTATTGTAATGTTTTGCAAGAGCATAGACAAAACTGTTCATACAGTAGCTATGTTGTTGTTTCTGTCAATAGGTATTTCTCACTGCTAATTAGTAAAAAAAAACGGCATGATTACTAACATCCTTTATACAAGTGTTGCATTACTGTCAAGAGCATTTATAAAGTTGTTAGCAAATGGTATGCACAAGCAAGCTGTTCTCTCATTGGTCAGAAATATTGCTAGGGAAGAAATCCGTGTCACTTGAAAAACAAAAATAATGTTTTGTTAAATAAATGTGTTCTTCAGGGAAGTAACCATAACTTTAAAGGTGAAAGGTGCACAACAACATTTTCCTGTTTAATCAATCAATTCATGAGACTCAGATATTACACTTAATAATGAGATATTGATTTTAAATGTGCACTTTTTTCAATAGGACTCGTACTTGTATCTACTAAAACTCAGGTATTGGATTTTCCTCCAATCTCGTATCATAATCAGAAAAATTGATTCATCTCGGGGAAAATTGGGTTTCATGAGAGCTGCTCCATGAAAAATAAAAAATAAATTGAACCTAATATGTATATCAATAAAAACAAGTACACAGTATAAACATAACAAATGTAACTTAATGGAATAAGCAAATAATATATTGTCATATTAGCTTATGTTTTATTATTGTAAGCTATATTATTTACAATTGACAATACACCATATCACGCGATAAACACATCAGGAGTTGTGGTGATATTGTTAAAGCTACTTGTACATTTGTTTTTTGGAAAGCCTTTTCTTTTGCTATCCAAGAATCCTGTTACCTCCATACATGACAATTCAACACCTCTCAAATATGACCAACCTGCAAAAAGGTTTTTTATTAGCAATAACCGTATTCTTTCCCTAACCCTAACCACATGCATTTAAAGTAATGTGAGGTTTAGTAGAATCGTCATAAAGTCCTTCAGATGATCTCCCTGTGTTCACCTTTCCAGTTGCATTTGGAGAAGCTACACATCTTCTTTTTGCATACCCTAATATCCTAGCAATTTCCATGTCAATTGGTAACAATCGTATCCCTCTACTCACTCAGGTATGAATACTGGGCTTGTGATTTGCATTCTTTATCCATCCCTTTATTATGCACCACCTTCCTTCCTCACTCTGGCAGCTACAGTGAAGCACAGTGTTGAAAATGTGAGGAATTAGCCGGCTCTCTAGGATCTTTGTGCAGAGGATTTTCTAGGATTTCTGGTTTTTATTGCGCCTGCCTCCCTCAGTCCCACGATGATCCC